ATCTTTGATTGTGCTAAGTACTGGATTTTATCAATATTTATTGTTTAATTATTATTGTTGCATACCGATTTGATTTCGTTGATCTTGCAGATATGAGGGTTCATACAATACATTTGTGGATGAGATTAATGCAATTGCTGCTTACCAGTGGTGGGAAGGTGCCATTTACACCATTCTTTCTATTCTTGCTTATCCCCTTGCTTTGTCATGGCACCAATGGCGCCGAAGAATGAGATTGCAACGATTACGTGAGTTTGTACGATCAGAATATGACCATGCTTGCTTGAGTTCTTGCCGTTCACGGGCTCTCTATGAGGGGATTAAGGTTTCTATATACTTCAACTCTTCAATTCATTTGTTTACTATTTTGCTTCTTTGTATTTGGTTTACTTCTCTTAGATTTTTACTTAGCAAATCTCATTGTTGTTTTAGCTGTCTTTGATTCCCTCTTTATCATCATCCTTTTGTAAACCAACGATATTGACATGTCTGAAAACTAAGATAGATACCTTTTATTTTCCGAACTCTCTCTAGTTTGATTGTAGAACATTCAGTGCTCTTGTTATTATGTGTATTACTTGGAATGACAGTCACATTCTTCCTATTAATATCATGTACCAATACCATCCTAAGTTATGATCAATTCTGGAGATTCTAAATTTCATATTCAATTTATGTTACAAACATGCTCAAGAAGTTATTAGGTTGTTTATAAATAAAATATTAAACACACACAAATTAAAGGAGTGATTAAATGACTCCTTTACATGGTAGACGGATGCTCTATTCTTGGAGGTGAAAATGCTTACACTAAGGCCAAAGTGCATCATCAGTAGAGCTAGTGCTAATCTGTCTATATAGTTGCTTATGAGTCGAAGTAACAAGAACACTTGAAAACAGGTTTTTCAGTTTAAAACATCTTTTGATTTATGCATAAATTATACATTTACTGTTTCGAACAGTTTCTTAAATCTTGAACCAAGTGCTGTTGAAACATAATTCTTGTCTGTAGCTTCAAACTTGTAATTGTGGTATTCTGTCACTGAAGGTCTCTGCAACTTCTGATTTAATTCTGGCCTATGTTGACTTCTTCCTTGGTGGAGATGAAAAGAGAACAGACCTTCCTCCTCGCCTCCCTCAAAGGTTTCCTATGGCTATAATTTTTGGAGGTGACGGAAGCTATATGGCTCCATTTTCGCTTCAGATTGATAACATTCTTACCAGTCTTATGAGCCAGGTTAGTTGTTATATTGTATCCATTTAGTGGGTTCATCTTTGAAGTTTTGGTTATTATGAAGTTCTGTTAATTGTTATACCTCTAACAGCTGGTGGCCCCTACTACTTGGTATCGGCTGGTGGCTGGTTTGAATGCACAATTACGCCTGGTTCGCCGTGGATGGCTGAGAGTAACATTTAAGCCTGTCATTCGGTGGCTTGAAACACATGCTAATCCTGCTTTGAGAATCCATGGTCTACGCATTGATCTTGCCTGGTTTCAGGCTGCACCTGGGGGTTATCGGCAGTATGGACTTTTGGTGTACTCTGTTGAAGAGGAAAATGAACCTATTTCCTTGGGAAATACCAATGGTGGGGTCAAAACTGAGTCACTTTCCAGGTAAAATATGTCGATGTTGTTTGTCATTATTTGTCTGAACTTTAGATTCCATGTGATTGGTACGAAAGTCAGGTTGGCATAGTTATTGAGTGGGGAAACTGGGGAGCATTAGGCAGAAGCTGTAGGAACCAAAGTTCAGAAGAGTAGTTGTCCTTGTAAGATCTTGTGAAAGAAATCCAAATTGCTGAGTTTTTATTATTTGTATGCATTTGATGGAATCATTTGATGCTTGCTTATATGGAATTTAATTTGGTGACTTAATCTATTTGCTGCAGTGTCAACACCGGATACATGTCAAATCAATCTGGTTATCCAAGAGAAAATGTGCTGTTGACCCAAGGTAACCAAAGCAGCGAAGGTTTTGCAAGACGGAAGAGGAGTTACAAAGGGCTTATAGATGCTAACAGCTTACATAAGCTTGAAGAGAAGAGAGAGATCTTTTATCTTCTCTCTTTCATAGTCCATAACACTAAACCTGTTGGTCACCAGGTAATTAGCGTGAATTTACTAATTATATTAACTTGTAATTATCTACAAATTTATATATTTCATTTTAACACTTTGTCTATGGTTGCAGGATCTTGTTGGTTTAGTGATATCAATGCTACTTTTAGGAGATTTTAGCTTAGTGTTGCTTACGTTCCTCCAGTTATATTCAATATCGGTGGTGGATGTCTTTCTAGTTTCGTTTGTTTTACCTCTTGGGCTCCTCCTTCCTTTTCCTGCTGGCATAAATGCTTTATTCAGTCATGGACCAAGGCGATCTGCAGGTCTTGCACGTTTTTATGCTTTGTGGAATTTAACATCCTTGATTAATGTTGTAAGTTCCTCTTTAACTTTTAATTTTCGTTTTACTTGTAAACTTCTTTCTACAGTTCCTTTAACTAGTAATGCATTAATTTCAGACGTAATTTTACTTACCAAGGAGCTAGTAATTGTGAATCTAAATAGCCTTCATCACCCTCCATTCCCCTCCCCTTATGCATGAGAAAATTTATTCATCAATGACTAATTGATGGCATGACGAGTTATCATTTCCCTAAAAATTTCTTATACTTTCAACAATTGCTTTGAGTACGGTAAAGTAGTGAACTGTCCTGGATTGAATCAGTATCTGAATGATAATCATCATCTTCTTATCTTTGCACCAGGGTGTTGCATTTCTTTGTGGGTATATTCACTATAGCAGGCAGTTGTCATCAAGCAAAAAGACCCCGAGCCTTCAGCCATGGAGTTTTAACATGTAAGTAAAGCACACAGACGTTTTGGGCGGAAATGAAATTACAGTATGATCACCATTATTTCTTTTATTAACATGGGATGGTTTCGGATGCAGGGATGAAAGTGAATGGTGGATTTTCCCGGTCGGACTGGTATTGTGTAAGCTTTTCCAATCACAACTTATAAACTGGCATGTTGCGAATCTAGAGATTAAAGACCGGTCATTGTATAGTAATGATTTTGAGGTATTTTGGCAGAGATGAATGTCATACTTGCCAAGTATTAACAAGGCTCTTCTGTTCAGTCATTTACTGTTTGGTTTCTTGTATGTAATTTTTAGAGTAGCGAGTGGTTCTTTGACACAAGTAGAAACTAGAAACAGAGGGTTTAAAGAAAGGGTAAAAACACTAGTGTGAAGATGGCGTTCATTGTCGTAAGTTCGCAAAATGTCAAGATCTTTTTCGTATTAATTTTCGGAGTTGCAAAGTAAATAAAAGATTTGGGGTTAGTACAAAAAATGGTTTAAATATTTCGTTTGTATATTTCTTTTGGGTGCTGCAAGTTTTTTTTTTTGTTAACTGTAGAGAAGCATTCCTGCAATGCTTGTAAAAGCATCTATGATCTAGGCATGGTAATAGGGTATGCTGGTTTTCGAAATTATAAATATTTTCAAACCTCGAAACGATTTACTTGACTTCAACCTGACTTAACAATATATTCAGTTTTTTTTCTTTTTAATAAGTTTCAATTATATTACCTAAGAAGCAGAAGATTGTTGCAAAGTTACAAAGTAAATGGGATCACCAACAAAATTGTAGGGAATATCCTATGCTATGCAAAGTCTACTATTTACAACGTTGAAGGTGGAGCTCATGCGAAGATGAAATCTATTTATAAGCTTGGGAATTAGCAATACTCATCAATACAGATCTGATGAGTTGAAGTCTCCCTGCATAACTCAACAAACGCCCAGTCTACTACCCCAGCTTACCCTTGATCTTTTGCAGAAGAGGAAGACAATCCTTCTTAGTGAGCTTGCAAGTCACAAGAAGAATCCCAAGGAAACGGACAGAGAGACATCCAAGCTTGAAACCTATAACATTTTGAATAATCTGCAGCTGACTATCAGGAACTCCAAAAGAGAAAGGTTCACTTTTAGCAGCGTTTAATTTCGAATCAGACATTTCATAGAATTCAGCCAGAATGCATTGGACTCCTCCTAGAATAGAATTTAAGATGTTCCTTGTAAAAAATTAACAGATCATCCGTAAAGTACAGATGAATGAGACCTATCCTTTTACACGTAAGATGAAAATGAAATGCCTTCTTCACAACAGTCAAATCCAGAATTTTAAAGAACACATGCATGGCTAGTACAAATACAAATAGGTTGTTCATATAATATATTCAGTATGTTCTTTGAAATGGATTCGAAAACTCTTCTGCTTGTTTGTTTTGTAATTCATAATGAAATTTCTGGTGTTTGATACCCATTTTTAAAAAAAAAAATTTATTATATCCTTCATATCACGTCTCGGTAAATGGAGAATGAAGGTGTACCCTTCATGTCATGATGTTTAGTAGCTCCGATTCGACCATCTTTAACAAAAATTTCGATACATATACCGAACTTATAAATATTTTTAGAAACTTTAGGTGAAACGGTCTTATAATTTTTAATAAATAAATAAATAAAATACTTAATAAAAGTAATTTAAATTTTCTCTAATTAATATTTTAAGGAGCGATTGGTATTGCCAATTCCCTTCCGTCGGTCCATCCCAAGTCTAATCATCTGATGGCAGTCACTCTTGGTATTAAGGAAATATACCAGCAAGCGTCACTCATGTAGAGTCATCACTTGGTATAGAAGACAGTATTACATTTTACGAGATGATGTCTCTCTGGTTCTTTTATTCTCCTCTCTCTCTTCCTCTTGTGAAGATAAAGTCAAACCCAAACCCTATTTTTGATAACTTTTAAGAAGAGAAAGTTGAACCCAAACACCTATTTTCCGTAATCATTGTTCATCAACAGTTTTCCGCCCACAGCATAACACCATCATTCTCTACAGCATTTAAGCACCATCAACCTATGCAACAGAACTGATAATGTAATATTTTTCAACACAATATCCCAGTATTTCCACCATAAAATTAAGCTGTTGACCGAAAGGGAATTCTTATTAAAAAAAACGAGAGATTCTAAGCTACAAAGAGAACCCTGCAGCCCAAATTACAAAAGCATAATGTACCAAAACCAACAAAATAAAACACAAGACGTCAACCCAACAAAGATTCTTAAACCCTAAAATCCCACACTTTTTAGTAACTCTGATATCCTTGGCCATGTGTAACCTCTTGAGCGTTATGCTGCACGTACTGTCCATATTCCTTAGCTTTCTCAGTCATATCTCTAGCAGTACTCGCAAGCTTATTCCTCGCGTAATCAAGTTGATCAGCTCCCAACGGATGTTTCCCTTGCACGTAATAGTACATCCACGATAACGCCGTTATCGCCGCCACCGCACACCCACCGGAAAACAAGAAGCCACTTATGACCAAGAATATCGTTATCCCCGCCGGGACGAGAGCAGGGCTGAAGATAACGATTAACGGCGTCGCAATGATCAAGGCAATCACCGTACCGGTCAAGGTTAACCCGGACAAGAATAGCAGTGTTGCACCCAATGTGGAGGCGGTCAAGAACTTGGCCACTTGACGAGACGAAGGAGCTGACTCGTAGAGCTTCTGAGTCATCGGCATGTTTTGATCGTTGATCGACATGATGATGAAAATCTCTGATTCTGTTTGATGATGAAGAAGAAGCTGAGTAGAGGGTTATTAGAAAGAGTGAGGATGAGAGGAAGTGGCGGTGATATAAGGAGTTGGGTGAACCGAGGAGGGGGACACGTGGCGGACGGTGGAGAGGGTTTTCGTGGTGGGTGAAGAGGTGAGGGTATCAAAATATGTTTCTGCTTCTCTAGAGTCTAGAAGAGGGTGTCAATTAATATGTTTGGGTGTGGCGCGTGTTGGTTTGAGCTGCTCTGCATGGTTGTGGGTTCACGAGGAGGCGAAACGTGGTTTTCATAAGGCTACTATCGGTTTTTAGCCTTGGGGCATGGGACTTGTTTCAGTAACGGCTTCCTCGTAAAGGCATTTTGAGGCAATTCTTTCTTAAAGAGTAAATAAAATAACAAATTATTTAATTGAAATATCATTATAAACAGATATTTTTATTAAATATTAGATAAAATTCTTATGTAGACAAGGGACCAAGCTTGTAAATTCAGAGGTGATGGTACATATTTGGAAAATTGAGCTGAAGATTTATCCAAAAACTGATACTTGTATGTGCCGCTTAAGGCAAGTATCTTTGTTTTCTGGTTAGAATGGCATAACGACAACGTTTCATCATGGCTTATCCCGAAACATTTCACTTTTACCCACAGATAAGCTTGTGTCGTGACATGCGAAGAATGATGCCAAGCTTCAACATGAAGGATATGAACGTCTGTGATTCTCTTTGTCACCGGTTCACACCACATGGCACGATACTTGAAAACCCCATTCAATCAAGTCCCACACAAACTTTGTTTATCATAAAAATTCTAATTACACTCTTAAATTATGATTTATTTTAAATTAATTTAATTTTTTTAAAATGTTTTAATCTCATCTGTAAATTAATCTTTAAATCTTAAGTTTGAGAGTAAAATTAAAATATTAAAAAAAAATTAGACTAATTTAAAATAAGTCATAAATTGAAAATAAAATTGAAACGTGGACATGAACAACAATCATAATTCCTCTAAACCTAAATTCAAGACTATCTGAGTTTTAGAATGGCTTGAACAAGTAACATAAATGACCAAACTTGAAGCGACAAGAATTGAAAATGATTCAAAACCAAAAGTGACCTGAATAATATAAAATTCAAATTGGGCTGGCCCAACCCGACCCTTCCAAATGTAACCTGATCATACATTTCAAAATTGCAAGTAGTTCATACAATAGCAGAGATTGAAGGCCCGAGTTACCATTTTAATTGATTATTTCAGGATAGTAGAGAGGGAAGTTTTCATGCCACACAAGGATTGTCTTGGGTCACCGATATTCCGCCATTGCAATTTCCCGCATCCGGCAAGCCATTAGCTGACATACAAGGATCGTCTTCGGTCACTGATGTTCTGCCTTTGCAATTTCCATCATCCAAAATGCCGGTTGCTGGTTGTTTCTCTTTCTTTGATTCGGCAATATCTCTGGGGTTCAAGAAGCTAGGCTGGTTAGTCGAAGAGAGCAGCCTTGCCCACATCCTATCTGTAATGACCACCTTGTTCTGTTTCTCGGTGATACGCTGCATATTAAAATTACAACCCAAGATATTAATCGTAAGCCTTTTAACAGTGTTCACTAACAGATGTTAACCTACTAACTTTGACTAACAGATGTTATAAATGGGTGTCGTGGAACATATATTAAATGGAATGTAAGCATGTCTACCATTGACAGGACCCACAGTGAAGCCTGTATATCCAGCCATTGCTCCTTGAGCTGCACTTTGAGCTAGTAGAGTGCAGTAAACGTTATCAGAAGCAATGCTAGGAATAGCCCGGATCATGTATGTAGGATCTGTAAGCCAAATTGCTCATGTCAAATATCTTGCACGTTACTAAAAGGTTGAATTTGGTGAGGGGAAAAAGTAAATAAAGAGCAAACGAGAAATTAACCTATATATTTAAGATTGATGGGTATCTTCTTTTTCGCAAAATGTTCCTACACAAAGTGATTGAAGACGGTTAAAGATAAATGTTACATAGACATCTAATCAGTTGCCACATGTGAATTGAAGTCTGTACCTTTATCCTGTGAGAGATCCACAGCCCGACATCTTGAAGAAGTTTGTTTCCCGAAGCATCTTGTTGGTCCATGGACTGCAAGCTCTCAGAAAGAAGATCCTGTCCTGCTCCTTCGGCTATAACAATAACCATATGTCCGTTTTCTTTGAGTCGTTTTTCGGTATATTCATAAAGTCCACCATTTCCTTCAAGATAGAATGGTGACTCTGGAATCAAGCAACAATCAACATCAAGGCTGGCAAGAGTAGCATACATTGCAATGAAACCTGCAGCGCCATTAAATAAGATTAAACAAAGAGTGGATCCGAAAATACCGATTCCAAAAACAAACAAAACTAGAGACACCCGAAGTAGCGATTACATAATTGTAAAGAGTCCATCTATTATAATTGTAAATAAGCATACCACTATAGCGTCCCATTAGCTTCACCAGTCCAATGCCATTCTCGATGCTTGTAGCTTCGACATGTGCTGCATTAATGGCACGTTGGGCCTCCGCCGTATCAAAACCAAATGATTTGTCAATAACCTGAACCAAAATCAGCAACCCAGCACAATGCCATCTCAATGATTAATAACATGTCTTTCAAGTGGTGTCAAGAATAAAATTTATTGAGAACTACAACTTTGAAGATGAGAAATACCGGAATGTCATTGTCAATAGTTTTTGGAATTCCAGCAACAGCTACTATGAGGCCACGTCGCCTAATTTCCTGACAATATCATTAAACATAAGACAATGATTAGTTGCATTGCTTCGCATTCAAATTCATGCGATAATAGCTTAAAGGGATTGTAACAATACTTGGTAGATTTATCCACGAGGACCAAGACTAAGCCTTGGTTAAATTGATAGACCTCTATGCAACATATTCCTTACTTGACAATTGCAGAAAGTAGAAAAAGTCCAAATGCTAATACCTCAAAAATTACTGCTGCTCCTCTTTGTGTCCCATCACCTCCAATTATATAAACCTGAACGGCTAAAGGAGACAATTAGAACCCGCGCAATAGCAGTCATGTGGAAAAAAATATTAGATTCATAAATTCAAACAAACAGAGAGGAGGCTCAGAGAAAAAACATCTACCCATGCACCTCAATGTACCTGATTGATTCCACGATCCTGAATGCTGTCAACAATCTTAAATTTGTCATGACCCCCTCTTGATGTCCCAAGAATTGTACCACCACGTTTATGGATATCGTTGACGAACTTGGGAGTCAACGTGATTGTGTTCTTTGCATAAAAACCCCTATACCCTCCCTAAAGGTGCATCAAATATAAGTTTCGGGTGAGATTACCAAGTGATGGTGTTGCTCTTACTGATCATAAACCAAGTAATCGATAGTATTATACCATAAGGTTACTTAATCTATTCCAAGAATTTTTCTGACGCCATACATGTGATACAGGCCACAAACAATTTTTCTGATCACTGTGTTGAGCCCGGGGCATAGACCACCACATGTTACAATGCACGCATGCACTTCATCGGATTCAAAATACGCCTGATAAGCATAACAACGGTCAGTCAGTGAACTGCCCATAGCTTATCATTTTATAACTTCAACCCAATAACATGTAGGCAAGGAGAGAATTTTACCCTTTGGCGTGGTCCTGCACGTCGAAAATGCACCCCTCTTGGACCATCCTTGTGAACAACAATCTATAATAAAACAAGTGTATCACTTAACCATATCGATTAAAAAGGAATATCCGTAGGAATTTATAACTGTGATTGCAACACATAAAACAAACAAATAACGTTAAAAAGGTTTTTAAGGCATTCTTTCTCCACCTACTCCACTTCAACAAAATGTAAGTCATAAAAAATTGACTACAACTTCAAATAAAATTTGCATAAAATGCAAAACCCAAGCAAGTAGACTATAGGATTCACCTTCTGAGTGACAGTATCATCGGCATTAACAAAATATTGCCTGCAAATAAAAAAAGCCGATCAAACAAACCAGCATCAACCAAAATCCAAAACTGAAGAAAACTTTCAGGTTTAATTTTACTCACTTGACAACTGAATAAGCTGGATTATCTTGTAATGGGTTGGGATAGCTCTGCCACGTAAACATATATCAGTAAAACAAAATGCAATTTATATTTATATAAACAGGGGAAGAAACTGAAATGGAAAATCAGTAGCTTAAAGGTACTCAAAATGGGGGGTGGGGGGGGACTGACCGACTGAGTTCTCAGCAGTCAACTAAGCAATAAAATCAAAAGCAGATCTAATTACAATGACTAAACAAAAATCTCAATAATATCATGCGCACCTCGTCACTCTTGATCTAAAGTGAAGTAAAATAATTAAGCACTCAAAATGTAAAAAAAAAAAAAAGGAATCAGAGCTCTGAACAATCAACAGTGTAATGACATCCAAATCTTACAAAATTACTATCACTAAGCAAAAAAATCTCAACAATATGCACCTCGTCTCTATTGATCTACAGAAACCGGATCAGTTCGAAACACCTAAACAAATAAATACATAAAGAATAAGAGAAATTACAGGTAGATCAGGCAGGTAATCCGTGAAGTGGGGAACATCTTCGAGCACGTAACCGCCGGGGCCGGTGACTAACTTCATCTGCGTATCGCCGGGATTTTCCATCGCTCGCTTTCTCTAAAGGAAATGGGAATGTTCGATTCTCTGTCACGGTGAATAGCTGAAGAATTCTTGTATTTCTTAGTATTAAAATGGTGCAAGTGTTTCCTTTTCTTCTTTAGAAAAAAAACTGGAAAGAATCTGTGGCTAATCATAAATTGATAGTATATAGGAGAGTTGTCCTCGTAAAGAAATTTGGATTAATTACACCAGAGAGAGCACTTTCAGAACAAGGAGCGACGTCGTTTGGGCTTTGGGTCTAAATCCGAGGTTTTTGCTTTAAAACAGTTGGCGCCGCATATGTTGTATTATTATCGTATCTTTCCTGCTCCGCTGGTTTTCCACGTGTCGAGAGATATTGATTTTTTTTCCTTTCCAAATTCGAAAGTTTAACTTGATTAACTTAAATTTAAATATAAATCCATCTAATTTAATAGTAAGAAGTCAGTTATCTAAAGTAAAATTAATATTTTAAATAAATGATTTTAACTTAAAACAATTGAAATCTAAAATAATTTGAACTGAAAATTAATAAATCAAATCGGAGATATTAGTAATTATAATTGATGTAACCACTTTCCTCAAGTAATGATATGGCTATCCTAGTTTGTTAACAGCATAGATTGTAGCGATAGCGGCTTAATGAGTTCAGTAACTCGTGTAACTCAAATTTAATTAGATCAAAATTCGATAAAATTTTGACTCAAATTAATTCGACTTATACTCGAGTTTAACTTGAGAATTTAACAAATTGAGTCGAGCAAACTCCAACTTGATTCGATAAGTTCACGAGTAGCTCATTAAATTTTTAATAATTTTTCGTAGTTATCTTAAAAAATTATTAATTTACAAATAATAATAATAAAAAGATGATAAAATGAGTAATCTATTATTTTTATAATAAATAATAATAAAATACTAAATTAATAATTATTATTTTACTACTCCCAAAAATTAAACTCTAATTATTATTTTAATGTATTTGTGGATTGTTATTTTAGAGTTTAGACTTTCAATTTGTTCCCTACACTCTTGATAATTTTTTGTTAAATTTATTAATTTATATTTATATTAAGCTCTATATAATATTAGTAGATTTTATATTTAAAAAAATAAGATAAAAATTTTAGTGAGATTAACTAGCAATGAGACGAGCTACAAGCTTAACGAACACGAGTTGAGCAACAAATTTTTTCAACGAGCACGAGTTGAGCAAAATTTTAACGAGGTTAACGAGCACAAGTTGAACAACAATTTTTTAACGAGTCGAGCTAAATTTTTTTTAATGAGTACGAGTCGAGCTAAATTTTAACGAGCTTAACAAGCAACGAATCGAGTTGAGCAACAAATTTTTTAACGAGCACGAGTCAAGCATTGCCCAACTCGCAATCGACTCGCTCGATAAGCACCCCTAATTACAGCTTACTTAATTACAGAGGATAAAACCGTGTTGGGAAGTGCTAAGAAGAATTCTCGAGCTCAGTTTGACAAAAATGTTTGAATGCCAGAACTGAAGGTGAGTGTGCAAGGGTTCCATTTTTGCCAATAAGCTTGAAGCTGTTATATGGCAAATAATGTCGTTCCTTTAACCCCCGCCGCGTTAAATCAGCAGCTGTTTCCATAGGAGATATAATTCTCGTGCCCTTTAACATGGAACTCGGTAGAGTTCTTTCATGGAGTTTTGGTTCGATTTACATTGTTCAATTACAAGTGTGTGGAGAATAAATGTGTATCAAATAATAATCCAAAAATAATGTGATTCTTAAAGAGAAAAAATACAGGTTTCCTTTCTCATTCAAAATGGAAAATAATAATAATAAATTATTGAGCAAAGAAGATAAGATAAATTCATCCCCAGCTATGTAAGGTCGACCTAATTGTTCCATTTGAAAGGGGGAAAGAGCCTTAAATTGCAGGCTATTGTTGTATATATTAAGCGTCAAGTTGGATCATCAGAAGGCATACCGGTAGATAGCATCGGCTACACCGTCTTCATCGTTGCTAATACCAATTACATCAGCCACAGCTTTTGTTTTCTCCGATCCATTGCTGAGAGCAACTCCTAGAGATGCTAACTCAAGCATTTCCATGTCGTTTTCCCCATCACCAATGGCCATAATCTACAGCCAAATAGAAGGATAAAAGAAGAATAATGTAGGAATGGTCAAAATACTCTAACTTGATAGGCTTCGATCCAATCTTATGGGGTAATCTTTTTTAATGTGGGTCGACCTGGATAATTACTATATTGGGATAATTATTGTAATATCAATTATTCCTTATCATGTAAAGAAAAAAAATCAAATTATTCGTGTCTAATCAAGTCGAGACAGTTTTTCTATCACAAAATTCGGACAGTTGAAACATCATGAAACTACGAGTCGAGTCAAGGTCAGATGGAAGTCTTCAATTTTTGGGTTAGGGTGGGGAGGCCAAAAAACCATCTTGCCCCGTTCTCATGCCCATCCAATTATGTGTTCTCATAATGGGCGTCTCTAGCCTGTAGGTGCTGGCTAAGAATAGTTAATCTACGATTTTAGGAAGATTATTTTTTTAATATAATGTATTGTTTTCATCAATTTAAAAGAAAATCAGTGCCACTAAGCAGAATTTAACATTTTTGTAGAGTTACAGAGGTCACTATAAGCATGCACTATATTTAAAGCTCATACAAATGCATATTTCGGTCAGTATCGCGACAGTTCAACTTCAATATATGTAAAAAGGTAAATGAATAATTTAGCAGCTAGTTCTCCGAGTTAGCGAAACATGCATGCTGGATTTGCTGTGTGGATAATTTACGATTATCGAAGCAAATTGGGTGAAAGGAAAGAGAAGATAGAAGAAGATATGGGTTAAGAAGTACCTCCTTTGAACTGACACCCAAATGATCAAGTAGCAATTTCACTCCACTTCCCTTTGAAGTCCCAAAGGGAACGATTTCAAGCATGTCAGGTACAGCTTGGACAACATTAGCATGATCTCCTGTAGCTTTTGACCAGTATGGACGCAGATTAGTTGCTATTCCCTCAGCAGTGTCGAAAAAGATCAGCTTCTGCAAATCCAGAATACGTGACTAAATGACCATATTCAACAAAATCAATGGGTTAGGATTCCGTAATGGAAACCGAGTGAAACCAAATGGCACTTAAACAAAGAATCTTAAGCACCTTGTACCAACAGAAATATCATATGCATGTATCTATGTTAGAATTGTAGTAGCTATCGGCAAAGACTGCCTCCGGTTTTCACATTTAGGATTTAATATAGAATTGGCACTGGACTTGTAAGAATATTGAAGATTTTGCTCATTGAACTAATAACAAAACACCACTCAAAACCAATAACAAACAAAACAATCGCCAAAGCTCGCTTTCTTCCTCTTCTGCTACGGAAAATGTTGAGTTCTTGCAGACAAAACAACAACAACAACAACAACAAAACTCTATTCCCATATGCAATGGGGTAAGGGGGAGGTAGGGTAGCAGGCTGTCCACCAACGCCAGGTTGAGAGCAGCTTCCGTGGAAGACCTCCGGCCAGTCAAAAGACAAAAGATGAAGAGAATCTTTGACTCTACCTGTATGTCCGCAGCAGCCACCATATGCTCAACTGAAGGCATAATCTCTGCCTGTAAAAGTTGTTATGTGTATCATAAACATTATAAAAAATTTATCGGTCAACAAATAAAATGTATTAATACAAGGAAAAAGTATATGACAGTGTACAGCACCTTTGGCTCATGATATACAGTACCTTTGGCTCATGATATACAGTATGAAATGTGTCAACAAGAGGGTGATTAAATAGCGTTAAACAGCGATCCTGGCAAAATGCAACGAGAGGAACCTTGTGTTCCAAAGAGTAATGGCCAGCCTGCAAAATTGAATAAAGGTTGAATTGTGAAATAAAAAAATGGATTTATTTTTAAAGGATCTTACATGACTATTCTTAATCGGGACATTTGTATTTTGGGTCTTCAAAGACAAGATTTATTACCTCTCTGCAAACATTTGGATCTAAATTCCTTTTAAAGATTTCTCGACCATTTATCCCATAAACCAGCAATCCCTGCGACCAAAATGAAAGAAACCAAATTGAGCGACACTATGGTAATAAATTAAACTGCCACAGGTTTTCGAGCAAAAGAATGTGCAGAATCAAATTTTAAATTGTGTTTTAGTTGGGTTCACCGAAAATGTGCTGGATAGATTTTAGCATTGGGTTAGATATGAAATAGTAGAATTTTACCGCACAAGCTTTGTGGTGAGTTCTCCACAAAGCAAAATAAATTCATTGAAATAAATAAAAGGAAAACAAAAAAGGAAGCAAGAAAAACATCAGGAGCTAGAGGCCTGTGTGGGCCCAATAATATCTTATAAGAAGAGATCTCTTCAACTTTTCAGCTTGGCATCTCTACTCTTACAAATTGATGTTATAAAAAGTTTCATGCCATCATGCAATTGAAACAGACGCTATCAGCATGGACAAAGGAAATGTACTTGTAAGAAGACCCCAGGAGTGTGCTCCGAGATGATGCCATCTTTGCCAGATAAATTAACCATCTGCAGAACACTTATTGCAGCAGGACGCGCCTGACAAGTAACAAGTCAGGTACTGGTAATCAATATCTTCGTTAGCAAGCACGATGTCAGATTAAAAAGGAAAAAAAGACGAAGTTATGAGTTATCTGGCAACTCATAATGTAAAGATTGCTAGTACCATCGAGGTTAAAAATATAGGACATGCATATACGCATATGTTTCAGTTTGCTAGATAAAGAGATAACACATCTGTAAACTTCTTGAACAACATCCTGATATCGATGAATTAGAATGAGAAAAAAAAAGCGCCCATTGTTCTTACTTTTCCTGTGGCTATCACAATTTTTACGCCTCTTGATACTGCCTCTTTCAAAGCTCTTGCATTGGTTAATGAAACTTGACTTTTGCTGTTCAGCAGTGTGCCTAGCATTAAAGTTACAAAAGCATTAGGTATGGTATCAGAACTAACGAGGAAAAGAATTACAGTGGGAATAATCTCACCATCCATATCACAGAAGATGCATTTGAACTTTGGTCTGTAGAAACGAAGACTACCTTCTTTCTTCTTGTCCTTTGTCAATTTTTCTGTAAGATTATCTAACTTGAATTATATATTAGTATGATTTATTGTTTAGTTTCAAAATCATTAAAGAACACACGCAGAAAAAAATAATATAAATCTCACATGTTAAGAAAAAAGACTTTAAAGGGTCAAACTGTAAAGAAAAGGACAAAACAGAGTACCGTTTGAATTCTCAATATGAAGGTTTTCATTAGTTTCAGCATCATATGCACTCCGTATTAGTCCTTTTCCTTTCCATCCAAGACTGTTCAAAACAAATTCCTCCTCTTCCTCCATTTCTTCCTCGGCATCTTCACTGATTTCATGATCAAAACCCAACAGATGCAGAAATCCATGAACCTTCAAAGTGGATAAAAAGTTGGAGTCACCCTCACATTAAGTTTTCCTGTCCTGATACTAACTTCTTTGGAAGCTGCATCAGTAGAAAGACTGTCCTAATATATCCATTGTCTTTTACCAACAAATTTGCCATTTTGGCGTTTCACATAAATCAGATAAATCTCCATGATTGTTTTTTGAGTGTGTGTTGTGTGTTATCTTCTAAAGAAAAGTTCATTTCTTGCAATTTCATTCAGACCATAATTATATAAGGCCACTTTTGTGATTAAATTATCAAGAAAGTCTAATATAAATTATTGTGATGACTCTCATGTCCAAAGCAAAGAAATGGAGAAAGCTCAAATTACTGAACCAACCATTAGGATGCGTATTTCGTCAATAAGTGTGTTCCCTCTTTCTTCTGCCTGCCTTGCAGCAGTCTCGATAGAAATAACAATGTCACCCAACATAAGCTGCAAAGAAAGTAAGAAAGAAGTGTCAATTGGTTTCACTAACGAGTTGAAGAAAACATTTCAGACAACAGATATACTTACAACAGGAAGGTTAAGTTCAGGAATATGTTCAGACATGGAAAGGACATCGGTAGCATGGTCTTCATCCCTCCATTCCTTATTTAGTTTCCGAATGAACTCATCATTACAAAGTAGTACAGACAACTCTACGCTCTCAAACCCACCTAAATCTTGAATGGAGTTATCTCTTGTTTTATAATTCGAATCTGTTATACGTTCAAAAGCTAGCTTCATTGCCATTGGCACATTAAGACGAAGTAACTCCGCAATGCTCTGCAAAATGTACTCAGCGTTAAAACAAAGAGGACAGTTGGAATCGAAATTGCCTATTTCTTTTCTTTCATTCTCTCAAGAAACTAACAGAAATTTAGTTAATACTATAAATTTAAAGAAACATAAAATAAATATAAAGCACAAAAACGTATAAACATTAAGGCAAAGTAACTGTGCGATGCTCTGCAAAATGTACGTAGCAATAGAACAAAAAGGGCAGCTGGAATTCGCTATGTGATTTCTTTTTTTTTTCATTCTCTACTTTCTATAAACTAACAGAAAATTCATTAATGCAGGAAATTTAAAGAAACCAAAATAAAATGAAGCATAAAAAAACGTATTTAGTAGCATTTTCTTTCATTCCTCTCTAGAACCACAATGAAAATTAGTTAAAGCTATCATCATTTGAAATGTAATTGTAAAGTATTATACCGAAATTTCAGGATCACCAGGTAACTCTTCTTCAATGCAAATACTAACACTGAGATCCAACTGCTTCTCTTTACTCTTCGCCGGCCGTCCTCTCATCTTCCGATAGTCCTTATTCGAAGCCGAAACGAATCGCATTGGCCTCAAAAGCCTCTTCCTTCCATCTCCGCGGCACAGAGCGTGAAATCTCCGACAGAAGAGAGAAGATCTCGATGTGGAAGAGACAACGAAACGCCCCGAGCGGCGAGGGGGAGATAGATTGAAAGAAGAGCGAGGGATGTAGAAGGTAGTTGGGGAACGTTCAAGCGAGAGAGTAGTGGCGGCGGCGCGTAAAATAGTGGACGCCATGGCGGGGGAGGAAGGAGGGAGACGAGAACGGAGAAAAGAGAAGCGGATGAGCATATAGAGTTTGTTTCTCTCGTTAGCTGATAGAGCGTCAAGGTTTGTTTGAGGCCTAAACTGAAATGTATTAGAACCAGAACGGTATATTCCAAGGTAATTAAAGTTTGTAGACGTTAATTAAAATATATGAATGAATATTTTACAAATATTATACAACTATTAATTATTTAACATATTTATTTATATAACTTAATTATTTTTATCAAATAAAAATTAAAGATAAATTCATCATTTGAGTAATGAGTTGGAAGATGTCTCGGCCTCTCGGGAACAGCCGGCTATGAGAGCGAGACATTGCAGCAGCAACGGGGACCAGTTCCATGGCCTCCATTTGTAGCACGGTTATTACGGATGAATCAAATTAACCTTCTGCTTTAGTACAAAAGCCAAACATCAAAGTAAACATATGAATTTTTTTTATAAAGAAACTCGTGGATCCAACTATGGAGGGAGAAGGAGAGAGTACATTGACCGAAGATGAGAGCCAGATGAGAGCCAGATGAGAGCCGAGGAGATGAAATAGAAAAGATGAGAAATTGAGAGAGAAATGAACGCCCCCTTTTTTCTGTTTTCTTTTTAAATTGAGAGAGAAATTGGGAGAAAGATTTTTTTTTCCAGCAAAAACGATTGAGAAACTAAGACCGCGCGATTTTAGTGCATCTGAATAAAAGATTGGCGCGTTGCGTTCGTACTGTTTCTTTCGCGGTCATATGTTTATAGATAAACTACATCATTATTCACTGAACTTTATTCTCTCTACTATTTTACTTGTTATATTTTCAATGTTTTCAATATAATCACTAAACTTTATACATTGAATTTTTTTATCATTCTAAAATGATGTAGATTATTATTATTTTTCATATGACATGTCATATTTTATTAAAATTTTAATACCAAGTATGATTAAAATAAAAATAAATAAATAAATTATAAAAGATACTCTTTAATTATATCTAAATTCCTAAATTATATCTCAAACCTTAAACCCCAAATTATACCCTCACAGTTGACAATTTCACCCTCCCACTGGAGATCACTTTTTGACTGACGAATGGTCAAGCTCATCTCTGTCTTCACTGTCTTATTCATCCCTCACAACCCTCAATCAAACCAATCAACACAACCATGGCATCCCCTTAAATCATATTCATACCTCAAGCACAACAAATAATAGCAGCCAACAAAGGAAAAGAAGAAAATATCTGGACTGAATCAACGATTCAACACTAAAAAATCCAAAAAAAAAAGAGTAAGGATTAACCATTTAAGCTTGAGTTTTTCAAGTTCGAGGATAACTTTAAACTTTTATTTTGAGTTCGAATTGAGGTTTGAAAATTATAAGCTTGTGATCTTCCGATTCTAGTTCAACTTTAAACTTTCAAGTTAAGTTAAGCTTAACAATATTCGTACTCAACTTGACTCGTTTACAATCCTAATTTGAATATTTAAGGACTAATTTAGAATGAATATCATAATTTAAGGATGCATACTGCAATTAATTTTATTAATTGAATCCAAAACTTAAAAGCGCTCAAATTGCCATTGACTACGCAAAGCACGGCCACTGAAACCAAGACTCCATTTTGCATAACCCCCCCCCCCCCCCAAAAAAAAAATCATTTCCCAGTTGCCTACACCAATTTATCGTAGGAAGAGTTCAAACTTTACATCTTCTGTTTGAAAAGAGAGTAAAAACACACACTATTTCGTAGTGTTTGATGGATCGTCCACGCCCGAGACAGAGAGCGGTCTTATCTGGATTCACCAAAGCCGAGGTGAAAAACTCTTTCTTTTTTGTTTTTAAATGGCATTTCTTTATCTGAGTGGTCATCAGTTTTTCCATTTCTTAACAAATGTGTATTTTTCAGCTGTTGCTCTTTTGTTCATTTTCATGTTCGTTGTCTTATAGGAAATTCATTAGTATATTGTATTTGTATACTGCTAGCAATGGTAGTTTTGTTTATGAATGAGATAGTTAAGAAATTGAGCTTCAAATTGTGAGGTCTGGAACAAATGGTGCCATGTTTATATATACACATACACACACACATGTATGTATATGGATATTTCCCAATGTAAGCAAAAAGAAGGCTTCCTATACAAGTATATGTATTGTCCGTATTCCTGCTTCTGATTAGCTTTTGCATGCATGTTGATGTTTATTTGTAATTCATGAACATGTGAAGTTAGAGCTATTGTCTTGATTCTGGATCGTGTATGTCGTAGTTCCGATCCATTGTGTGATGCTTCGTGCATTCGTACTAAAATTAGGATAGTTAACCTTCTTGGTTCGACATAATCATAATGTTTGTGCATTGCTGATTCTAATATTTTGCTCTAAGCAAAACCAATCTGGTCCTTGATGTCTCATGTCTGTGGTTTCTGCAAAGGTATTTTGTTATGGGATTATAGAACTTATGTTTTCCCATTTTATCATGTACTTATGTACAGATCAAGAAGATGGAGAAATTGTTAGTGGGACCAAGAGATTTACTGCAGAGTAAGGTGTTTTGTCAAAAAATTGCTAGGAAATTCAGGTTAGTTGCATTTCATGTATATTCCCCAGTCCTCCTTTTTTCCCCTTTTTGATTAATCAAATGAATTATCATGGACTTAGATGATGTATATTGCTTTTGCAGCTCATCCGCATATCGTGCAAGCAAACCTCGTATTAAATGGACCAAGGTCTTTCTTTATCTGCTCTTGCTTCCATTTTAGCTTTACTTATCTCATTGTTTCTCCTCTTGTCCTTAAAATATGGTTAAGGTGTTACTGTTAACAGTTTAAGACCTCTCCTATTGATCCACTATTTTCATATTAATTCTCAGGTACGAAGTTGGTTCTTAGCTAGGCAGAAAGAAAGCACATCTAAGGTTCCTTCCTTAAGCGATACATCCAAAACCGAGTCCAGGATCTCTGAAACTTGCTCTCTGGACAATGGACCTCAAATTTCTCGGCTTCTCAAAGGTTTGTCTTTTTGGGAATTCAAAAATCGAAATGTTCAAAATTGGCAAAGTTTCAGATTCTCAATTTGTTACCCCATTTCATAAAACTTGGAAGTCCTATAAGCATTGAGGAAATGCTTCTCCGCAATTGCTCTTGAACGTGAAGTTTTAAATAAACTAATTGTTTACACAAAATCGATCCTTTGTCTCTCTTTAAACAACAGGGTGGAAGAGGTGGCTTGGCCTTCACTATCCTAGTTCTTATTTTACTTCTACTTGAATAGACCGAGAGTATCTAATTTAATACGGATTTCTTGGTCATTTCTATGTTTGCTTTGTGTTCTAGAAACCATTACATAAAAATGCTATACATAACTTAACCACCATCCCTTTAATTCCATGTTCTGGAGACTAATTTTCCCCCTCTGTCTGTTGGAGTGGTTTCAAAAGTGGGAGAAAAGGTCTGTGACCTCTCGGAACTACAGTTTGAGGCAAAGTCATCTAAAGATGGAGCATGGTAAGCTCATGAATCTACATTAATTCAACGGAAACCGTCTAGGCTTTTTGGTTGTTGTCCTCATCTTTACGTATATTGACATGTATTTATTCTGTTATGTCACGGGAAATCTTACTATCTAAACCAAGCTCGTACTAAAATAAGTTGATTTTAATGTGCAGGTATGATGTTGATACGTTTCTCACACAACGACTTCTTGGTTCTGGTGAAGCTGTAAGTAACTAAGTTGTACTATTGCATCTTCTGTATGATACTGATGCCCTTCATCAGCTAATACGATGATTTACAAGTTGTTTGATAAAACATCATTTGTTGTAGGAAGTTCTTGCTAGATTTGTTGGATTTGGGGCTGATGAGATGAA